CTTGCACTAGCAATACCACAACCATTGCTGAAGTACTTAGAGCATAAATGCAACCTTGCTGGATCTGCCCAGTGATCCACCCAGCACAGCATCCTTTTTTTTCACCATGCCCAAGCCGCTGCCCTGGAGGCCAAGGCCTTTGCCTGATGCTGCCTCCTGGCACTGAGTTCCAGAGGTCTGCTGTGGTCAGTGGAGGGTTCCCTTTAGTCCCCATGGCTAACAGCCCTCTGTGGGCCTCTCCACCATCAACCTGCCTGATCTTATAAAGCCATCCATGCTTCTGTTCACTATGACTCAATGAATAAAGATGTATGTCCTTTGGTCTGTCTTAAATCTATGGCACATCAGCTTCATTGGGTGCCCCCAACTTCTACTATTATGGGAGGGGGAGAAAAAGTTCCATATCCACTTTCTCCCCCATGCAAAATTTATAGACCTGTCATATCCTCATTAGTAATATTTTTTCCCCTGAACAGAAAAGCCTCAGACTCTTTGACCTTTTCTCATAGGAAAGGTGTTCCAAGCACTTAAGGATTGTGATTGCAGTCTTCTGTATTTTCCCCCAACTCTGTAATATTCTGTTTGAGGTGGACTCACCGTACTTCAAACAGCACGCAGCCTTCCAGATGAGGCTGCACCATAGATCTCTTGGAGGCATTGTAACAGTCATTCTTGATTTTCAATCCTTTTAATAATCCCCAGCAGAGTTTCCCTTTTCACACACTAGTGGCTTACTCGTTTGTCATTTTCATCATCTCATACAATCCGCCAATCCTTCTGCCTCTCAGTGTCGGTCAGTTCTGACTCTAACAGTATATATATTTAACATTAGGGATGTTTTTATTATCGACAGTGAACTTCATTTGCCATGTTGTTGCCCATTAAGCTAGTTGAGAGAGCTCCTCCTGGAGGTCTCCACAATCTGCCCTGGTGTTCACCATCCTGAATAACTTTTCACTGCATTGCTCACACCAAGTTTTAGATCATTTATGAACACAATAAATAGCACCAGTTCCTATGGCACCCCACTGCTTACTTCCCTCCATTGCAAGAACTGTCCATGTATTCCTACGCTCTGCTTTCTGTCATCTAACCAGTTTTTGATCCATAAGAGGACCCATCCTCTTATCCCACAACTGCTAAACTTATCCTGGAGTCTTTGGTGAGGTACCTTGTCAAAAGCATTTTAAGAGTAAAAATATATGAGGTCTAGAACATAAGGGGAGTCCTGCAGCATCAAACCAGGAACCTGTCTAGTTCAGCCTCCTCACACAGTGGCCAGTTACTCTGGAGGTTCTCCAACAGGGCGGAGGCCTCCATGGTCCTCCCCTGATGTTGCCTCCTGGGTCTGGGGTTCAGAGATGTCCTGCCTGAAAGTGGAGGTTCCCTTTAGGCACCATGGCTAGTCGCCACTGAGAAGCCACTCCTCCTTGAATCTGCCTAGTCCCCTTTTAAAGCAACTACATCCTCTGGCAGTCAGTTGCACATTTTAATCACTCATTAAGTAAAGGAATATTTCCTTTTGTCCATCCTGAATTCATTGGATGGTGAGGGAGAAGTTCTCTGTCCACTCTCTACCATGTGTATAATTTTATAAACCTCTATCATATTCCACCTTAGTCACCTCCAGTTTGGCGTAGTGGTTAAGTGTGCGGACTCCAATCTGGGAGAACCTGGTTTGATTCCCCACTCCTCCTCCACTTGCACCTGCTGATGTGACCTTGGGTCAGTCACAACCTCTGGCACAGCTGTCCTTGGAAAAGAGCAGTTCCTGTCAAGAGCTCTGAGCTCGGTCTACCTCACAGGGTGTCTGTCTGTCGTGGGGAGGGGAAGGGAGAGGAGTTTGTCAGCCGCTCTGAGACACCTTTGGGTAGTGAAGGGCCGCGGGGTATGAATCCAATCTCTTCCTCTTCTCCCAGTCTCCTGCCTTTCCTCATAGGTAAGGTGCTCCATCCCCCTAACCATCTTGGTTGCCCTCTTCTATACTTTCCCCAGTTCTGCAATGTCCTTTTTGAAATCGTCACCAGGACTGCATGCAGGATTCCCATCTAACAGATTGGCCTTGGATACATAATTGTTAACCTCAAAGAACTCCAAAAGGCAGGACTTACTTTATCAAAAGCGGTGCTGATGTGGCAGCTTCCGAAATCTTTTAGAAGGGTATACTTTAAGGGAGGTGGAGGAAGTAATGGAGCTGATTTTGTGCCACAAAAGGCTGGGTTCCTCATTGACTGGCGGGGAGAAGGCAGTGAGCATGAAGTGTGCCCCACATGGCACAAAATAAGCCAGAAGTCAGCTCTTTAGATCAGAAATCCAGATGCATGGGAGAGACTGACTGCATGGAAGAGGACAGTCTCTACACCTTTTCTGACTTTTGCCTAAGGAAGGGGAGAAATAGTTGATAAAAGCAATAAAAAAACCCTTGAGTAAAAAAGGAGATCTTCCAGCACGTCCACCGAATTGCAGACCGGTGGGGACAATAGTGCTTCTGTAGTTCTTAGCAGGCAGCTTCAAAATAAAGACATCTCTTACACCTCTCTTTTTACCTACAGTGGTTTAAAAAGCAAATTAATAAAAATCCAGCAAGTAAAATCCCAGATTATACGAAGTGCAGAAGTGTAAGTCGGAAGCACCACCATTAAAAATAGCAGCTGTATACCATAAACTGAAGCCAACACCAGTAGGGAATTCAAAAGAAACCAGAACTCAATGCTCTTCCGTTTTGCTCTGGCTGACTCTCCAAAAGCAGTGAACAAACATGCAAAGTGGTTGGGGGGGAGGAGATTGGATTTATACCCCACCATTCACTACTGGAAGGAATCTCAGAGCGGCTTACAAACTCCTTCCCCTTCCCCTAACAGACACCCTGTGAGGTCAGTGGGGCTGAGAGAGCTCTTGAGAGAAACTGCTCCTTTTCAAGGACAGCTCTTATCAGAACTACAGCTTGCCCAAGGTCATCCAGCAGGTGCAAGTGGAGGAGTGGGGAATCAAACCCAGTTCTCCCAGATTAGAGTCCGCGCACTTAACCACTACACCAAACTGGGAGTACCTCAATTAGTTGGTTAGCGGCACATTCGTAGGAGATGGCAGTTAAGCTTGCTGCAGTGGCTTGATGACAAAGGGATGGATGGGAGGAAGGAGAAGGAAATGGGGGGGGGGTGGCAAGAGGAAACAGCTACTAGGATTTCACAACGTTTAAAGAGAATCATGAATGGACTTGCCCTTTGCTCCTTTAGGATGGCTTTTAAAATTTTAATTTAATTGGCGCCCCTTGGAAAAAATTGTGGCTATGTGGCTGGTGGGACTTCCTGAAAAAGGGGCTTCTTAAAGTACAGCTGGATCCAGCGCCAATGCCAAATGGGGTTCTCTCAAGTAAGCAAAGTGGCTGCATTAGAAGCTGAGTGACCTGCTGAAAAACAAAACGGGTGTGTAAAAGAAACGGAAGGACAGGCCCCACCTGGGTCCTCTTGCAGGGGAGCAGCCTGGACTGGTGGGGCACAAAAGCTCAACATTAGCAGAGGACGGATGAAGGCAGAGGGAAGCCCTCATCAGACTGGCAAATGATCCAAACCCAGGAGGGACGGACAGAAATAAAACTCAACGTGACTTTGGCAGGTGGAAAAGCTTGGCTGAAACGAACAAAATGAAATGCAACAGAGACAAAGTTCTTTATTTAGGGAGAATGGCTGAAAAGAACATGGGGGAGGGATACCAGGCTTGGCAGGGGCACCTGTGGAAAGGGTCTCAGGTGTGCAGCTGAGCGCAAGCTGGAGGTCACTTGGCCGTCTGATGTAGCTGCAAAGGCAGCTGGTGCCGGTTTTGAGCTGCATTACGGAGAAGTAGGGGGAGGCCGTCACTGGCAGTCATTGTTTCGTTCCACTTGCACTTGCCCAACCTCACCTGGCGTCCAGTCCTGGGCCCCACACTTGAAGGAAGCAGCTGAATATTATGGGAAACTTCCTAGCAGTAGGTGTGGCTTGACAACTGAACCGGTTACTGCGGGCGGGTGGGGAGGCTGCTCCTCGCTGCGGGTTCTCCAGCAGAAGCTGATCAGCCATCTGCTGCTTGGTTTGGATTTCTTGCACTGAGCAGAGGGTGGTTGGGCTGGATGGCTTACAAGGGCCTTCCAACTCCACAGCGGCATTCAAAAGCACTGGGATTTCCAGTTTCCTCTAAAGTGCAAAAAAGGCCAGAGCTCCTGAGCTCCACCTGTGTCCCAGCATAATTCTAAAGGATTTACTGAGATTCCCTCTAGAAAAACCTTGGTTTAGCACAAAACCTTCCACAGAGAGAAACCATCTGTATTCAAAAGACATTCTTCATTAGAATGAGATGCAGATAAAAGGCCACAGACTACACAACATCCAGGAATGAGTGAAGTGGTTTGCATTAAGAAGCTCAAAGACTGCTTCCCTCCACTTCTAACACTGTGGGTTTCCACCACAGGCAGTCTGGAGCCAGAGGACAGAGCAGTTCTCAAACTTCAGCAGCCATTTTTCTTTCCTAGCATATCTAAGACAGGCAGAGACTTGTTTCCTTGGTTATAGCGATAGATTTATATAGGGAGACCTAATGGCCTTCTCAAGTATCCACCAGGCCAAGTCTCTCATGGTTCCTCCTGGGAGGTTAAAGATGCCCAGAACTGTCTCCATGCTGAGTGAACGAAAAGGAAACGTAGCCCCAGACTGGTCACAGTTCAAGTGACACCTGGGGTCAGGTTTGTGAAAAAGGGCAGTGTTGACGCTTGCAAAAATGTGGGCATCAAACTCCAATAGTTTCCACATAGCCTGAGTAGCTGTCAGTGTAGGATGCTTGCCTGCTCCCTGGGCAGTTGAGCTTCTTTACTGACAAACTGTGGTGGGCTTGCCTTGCAGCTCTCTGTAGGTAAAGAAGACGAGACCGGTGAATAGACAAACAGGACCACCTCCACAGCTTTGCCACCTGGGGGAGCCTCCCTTTGCCAGACCAGGCAGCGTGCAAGCCTGAGAGGGACACTGGGCTTACCTGATGGCCGTCCCCAGGTTTTGATGCCACTTGTTAAAGTTCTGCGGATCACAGGACATCAGCAGCAGCTTCTTGTGTGGGAAGGACAGCTGAAAATGGAGAGGAAGGTGAGCGCCAGGAGGAGGCCAGGAAGGAATGCTTCATGGCTTGCATCTGAGCAAGGAGAGGCCAGAGGGGTAGGGGCACAGAAACCACACGGGCAAAGCTGACTCAAGCCGCCCCGGGTCAGTGAGAAGGCTGGCGGGGGTGTGAGCCCAGAGCCCAGACACAGTGGAGCCAGGGCAGCACTCTGCTCTGCAGTCTAGCCTTCTTCCCAAGGGACGTCTCTGTCCCTCAGTGGGCTGGCACATACAGCCTCCTGGCTGGCTGGCTGGCGGGCCACTTCGCCGTTGCCCCCCCCCCATGCCCTGATTCTGCCTCCACAGACTCTAACCGGTCTGTTCTTTGTAGCCTCTGGAGGACGGTGCCGAGGAGCACAACCATCAGTGCAGAAACCAAAAGGACTCTGAAGAGGCAGCACAGAAATGCGCTAAATGGAGCAATAAAAGGAAAGCTTACGCTGAGTAGCCCTCCTTGACTCTGGGTGTGGCCAAACACTTTGGTCAGCGTGCACTGGCCGAGCGGGTACACAGCCTGGCAAGCAAACTTGTGCGAATTCCAGGGGTGCAGTGGATGGCACGGCTTTGTCACCAGCAAGACATCCGAGAAGAGAAAGAACATCCTCTGCTGCACTTCCTCCCCCTTTGGGGGCACCACCAGCAGCCACCCTTCCTGGAGGTACCACCGGCCTGCGGGAGAAGGAGAAGAAGAAGAAGGCGGCAGAGCAGACAGGAGGGCCGGTGGGAAGCAAGGGCTCGTCAGCAGGGATCCTCCCCAGACGTCAGACCTGCCACATTCTCAGCGCGGCACCTACTCTGAACACCTGCCTGGATCTGTCTTTCTAAAGAATACTGGTGCTGACATCTCAGGAGAGAATCCTCAGCATCTAAGCCATTGTTCAAACTACCTTAAGTATCTGTACAGGCAGGATATGGATTTGGTGAGTTTTTTAAATTAACAAGTAATCTGTACCAGCAACCACATCACATCTCACCTGCATAGAAAGCTTCCAGCCAGATTTAAATTAACCTGCTGTCAAGAAATTGGACCTTTAGTTCAATGTCTTGTTTTTTCATTAACAACCAGACCTCATATTAATCTCTAGGACTGCAAATGGGCTGAAGTAACCAAATGGAAAAGTAACTGGCTGTTGGTACTGAAGGGTTGGCAAATTAACCTTGTGGCCTCTGGATAACGATTCAGGTATAGAGAAAAACCATTTGTTTACCAGGACAGGCCTTGGCACCAATGCATCATCAATTGGTGCTGTGATTTCCACAACGCAAGGGATGGGTTAGATTGCAGACAACCTCTCCATCCTGTTCTTGTCAACATAACTTCACTGGTCTGATTTGTGACTGGGCAAGAGCCCTGCCCACTCAAATCTTAGTCCTTAAGAAAGTTAGTCTTCCTGGTCTTTGTTCATAGCTAGCCAACATAGGTATCATGAGGTGATGAGTTAACCTCAAAATGGACCAAGCTCTGCCTAGCAAGATGCTCTCTGGACAGAGAGATATGGATTGCTGCCTGACTTCAACTCAGAAGGGTAACATCTGGGAACAATGGATTAATGACCTTACGTGTAGCTAGTATGTTAACTGTAGCTTTTTGTTTTAATGCTCACTGCTAAGGTTCCTTTGAAATATTCTTGCACCCTTTAATATATATCCTTTGATTATACTTGGTGTGTTTTGTGCTTTAAATGCCTCAGTCCTATTTCCACTACCCTAGACCTTAAGAGTCCACCTACCAGGTTAATTGTTGTGGATGCTCATTCTGCAAGTGGCCTCCTTTGCAGGGTTGACTTTCCTGATTAATCCCAGTGTGAGGTCAAAGGCTTGCCCTTTAGCTTCTGACTGTGTGGATAGTCCAGTGGGCTGGTGGCAGAGACTGGTGAGTATGTGGACACCCCCCCCCCCAGGGTTCTTGTAATTTTGTGCTCTGCCAGACCGTACCAAGAATCTCTTGCGTTCGAGATTCTTGACACCTCCTCCCTCTAAAGCACTTCACATTCCATTTCCATCAAGGTCACTGATGTGCCAGGGGAAGGACTTCTACAGCCCTGTGTTGTACCTTCCAAATATTAGCCCAGAGACTTCAGAATCAGCGTGCCTAACAAAGCTTGGATGGCCGCTCTGAGGCTTCGGGATCAGTTGGACACTTGTCCTTCCTCTGACGACCTCTGCTCCGCTGCCTGCCGGTTTCCCAGGCACTACAGGGAGGCAGCCACAGTGTTCTTTATTTAGGAAACGTATATGCCACCTCTCCAGGGGCCTGTTCAAGGTGGCTCAGTAAGTAAAGTGGCACAATAAAATCATAATTCAGAGGGGGCCTACCTGGAGCTAACAACTGAATCTTCTGTCCTTTGAGCAGTTTCTGAACCCGGTTCATCTGGAAGGAGTTCTCATGGAAGCGAGATATTTTTTGGACTTGATGGAACACATCGGAGACAGACTGCAAAACCCCTGCAAAGAGCACAGCATCAGATACAAGGGCTATTCCTTCCAGTGTTTTGAGCGATGCAGGAGCCCCATCTTTGCAAGAGACGGGCCAGGCAGAGGATATGTGAAAAGGCAGGAGTCCAGACCTTAAGCAGTGGTGGGAACGAGCTGCAGTCTTTACCGTGCACAAGGGGGTGCTGAATCCTACCTCTGAGCTGCTCGAAATTGGAGCTTTCTGGAAGGATGTTTTCCACCAGGTCTTCCAGCAAGCGCTTGTACCTGCCGAAGAAACAAGAGAAGAGTGGATTCCACGTGTGTGTTTGTGTCCACCACCCTTTGGGTGAAGAAGGACTTCCTTTGATCCGTTCTAACCCGACTGCTCAGCCATTTCATGGAGTGCCCACAAGGAGTTCTTGTAGGGTGAGAAGGGGGAGAAAAGGACTTCTTACAGCCGGGGCTGAATACAGATGGACAGCGACAAGGTTGATGGGTGTGTGTGTGTGTGTGTGTGTGTCTGGAGACGAAGCCCCGCAAAGAGAGTCTGAGGGAAGCTGGGGCTGTTCAGCCCAGAGAAGAGATGGCTGGGGGGAGGGGGTGGAATACGGTCACTCTTTTTAAGTCTCAGGAGTGCTGCCATTCTGAGGAGGGCAGGGAGCTGCTGCTCCGGTTGGTGGAGGAGGACAGGACTTGCAATAATGGGTGGAAAGATACCAGCTGGATATAAGGAGGAGTCCCTTTTTACCAACAAGGTAGTGGAGTTGGTTGCCCAGGGATGTGGGGGTTCTAGTGGCTTTTAAGCAGAGCCTGAATGCCCATTTGGACCGGATGGTCTGTAGGCCCTTTCGGACTTTTGATTCTACAGTTTCTAAAGGGGTGTATTGATGTATGGCATTTACGCCCTGCTGTCTGGTTACGTGGGGAGGGGGTGTCACAGGCCCAAGGTCACCTTGGGGACTTCCCATGCAGAATGTGTGTGTGTGTGGGGGGGGAGGATCTGAACCTGGCTCTTCCAGATCCGAGTCCCAGTCCTCTAAGCACCACTACTAAACCACGCTGAAAGCCCTTGAAATCTGGATGAGTCTCCCAAAGTTCCTTGCAGCGGACAAAGGATTTCTTCTCCTTCTCCCCCCCCCCCCAACTTCTCCTGCTTGGAAGGGGATTCCCTGCTATCAGAACACAGAGAGAGCACCTTGAGGGAGCAAACATACAGAACTATTCAGCCTTTAAACCTAACCCCTTTAGGCTGCATAAAGCCTAATTTGCAGCCTTAAACCCTTCAAGGCTAGCTTAGACCTCAGTCTAGCTGTATCCAACATGTCTCAGTTGCTATAGTCAAACTCAGAAAATACAAGAATCCCACCCAATGCAACCCTGATTTAAAACCTAGCCTCTAACCTGCAAATGTAGCCCCAGTCGTAGGCTGTTTACAACAGAAGCAGACGTTTTCTACAGGAGGCCTAATCCTGCTGCCAAGTCTAAGCCACCAGTGGGTGCCTGAAGCTGACCTTTCTGGCCTGGTCTTTGACTCCTGAATGCAGCCACCGAGCAGAAACATTCGCTGACCATTCTCAGGTGTGTGTCTCTCCCCCCCCCCCAGCATTACCATTCCACCCTGCAAAAGGAGAACTCGTGAAGCCGCAGTTAGACCAGGTAGACAAGCAAACCCACCGAGCACAGCGCTGCCTGCAGACCCAGGAATTCCGGAGGTGGGGAGGGCTGAAACAAGCAGCTGGGGGGGGGGCTCCCTAAGGGATACGGCAGATGCCTTCTCCATGGGAGACCCTCGCAGCCATCCTTGGGCCAACCGTGCAGGTGGAGAGAACCTTTTGAGCCCCACCAGTCCAAGCCCTGGAGTTTGCCAGAGGACTGGCACAGGGCAGCTACGACCTGGAGCCAGCACTTACTGTGGGAGCCTCCGAAGGGGCAGAGGGAGCAAGTCTTCCAGCCGGCAGCCCTGGAACTCAGGACGAGTCTCCTGGATCTTCTTGAAGCGGGCAAAGGATTTATTCTTCCTCACTTGCTTCTGCACGGAGCCCGGCAAAGAAGAGAGAGGGACAGAACTGACTGCCGGCGGGAGATTCCCCGCCCCCACCAAAGATCTCGGCCAGAAAACACAGATAGCGCCTGACACGGCTGGGGCAGAGGCACGTGTGGCCGAGTGGGGAGGGGCACCCGGGGCGGGTGTGCGTGCGTGCGTGACATCACCCAGATAGCAGGACCCAGCCAGGCAAAGCTCACCTGCAAAGTCTTCTTGGCCTGTGCAAAGTTTTCAGCATAGTGGCTGTAGAGGACCAACTGGTGACGGAAGCCCTCCAGCCCCACAGCCATGTGGCCTCTCTCCAGATGAAACACCAGGGTCCTGTGGGTGCAAAGTGAACAGCTCCTTGAGCAGAGCAGATCAAGGCCAAAACTACCTTGTCCCAATAAGAATTCTGCTTCCTACTCTGCAACATGATTTCCCCCCCGGCTGCTAGAAGGGACCACAGTGTCCAAGAGGTGCATCGAAGCACCATGGGCAAAAATTTCCACCTCAGGTGTCTCTCTGATAGCTTGTCCCAGCCTACGTGGAGCAAGAATTCGGGGGGGGGAAGGAAAACATAGACATTCAGAGGGGGGGGGGGACTTCAGCCTCAGCCATCGTGTCCAAATCCCAAAGCCACGGGGAAGCTGCGCCTGTTCCCTCCCAGGAAGAACATAATTAGAGCGTCAGACTAGGCTCTGGGAGACCAAGGTTCGAATCCCTTCTCTGTCATGGAAACTTGTTGGGTGACCTTGGGCCAGTCACACACTTTCAGCCTAACCTACCTCATTAGGTTATAGCTGTGAATATAACACTCAGGGAGGGAGAACAGTGTTTATGTTTCTTTGGGTCCCCCCTTGGCAATAAAAGAGGGCTACAAATATCTAAATAAATCATTAAAGGGGAAGACCATCTTGGTTCCCTGTCTACTAGCTGCAGTAAGAAGAAGAAGAAGAAGAGATTGGATTTATACCCCATGGCCCTTCACTACCCAAAGGTGTCTCAGAGCGGTTCACAAACTCCTTTCCCTTCCCCTTCCCCTCCCCATAACAGACAGACACCCTTGTGAGGTTGGTGGGGCTGAGAGAACTCTGACAGAAACGGCTCTTTTTTCGAGAACAGCTCTTATCAGAGCTACGGATTGCCCAAGGTCATCCAGCCATGTGCAAGTGGTGGAGGAGTGGGGAATCAAACCCGGTTCTCCCAGATGAGAGTCTGCGCACTTAACCACGACACCAAAATGGCTCTCACCAAACTAGTAAGAAGAGAAGGTTCTTATACTCCGCTTTTCTTTGCCCTAAGGAGTCCCACAGTGGCTCACATTCACCTTCCCTTCCTCTTCCCACAACAGGCACTTTGTGAGGTTGGTGTGGGGCGGAGAGAGTTCAGAGGAAACCGTGACTGGCCCCAGGTCCCCCAGCAGGCATCACATGGAGGAGTGGGGGGAATCAAACCCCCTGGTTCTCCCAGACTGCAGCCCGCCGCTCTTAACCGCCGCACCCCGCTGGCTCTTCTTATGCTCAAGAGGGGAAATGTTGCCTGTCTTTAAATATATCTACTTGTTTGCAGTAAGAAGCAGAGGCCTCTGTCACCATCCCGGGGGTTGAGGACATGCCGGGTCACACGAGCACATGGGATGGCCGCATTAGGCCGAGTCAGACCGCCGGTCTATCGAGGTCAGCCAAGGACAGACTGGCAGGCAGCCCTCCAAGGTCCCTGCTACCGGAGTAGGGTTGCCAGACCCCTCCCCCCGCCCCGGGTTGGCGGGGTTTTTCCAATTTGGAGGGGCTCCTTCCCACCCGCCCACCAGCTGGCAGGTGAGGGGAAGCCCCCCCCAAAGAGCAACCACTCGGTCTCCTCCCCACCAGCATTCAGAGGAAGTCCTTAAACGCTGTTGGGAAGAGGCGGGGGCCTCCGCTCCCCCACGTGATGACATCACTTCTGTGTGACGTCATCACGCTGGGGACGCCCCACTCCCTCCAGTAATGCCCCCCCCCAAGTCCCCCGCTGGGGACTTTGGGGGGACCACCTGGCAACCCTGTGTCCCGGAGTATTTTGCTGAGGGTGCCCCCGGGGATGGAACCTGGGGACCCTCTGCCGCTGACCTGAGGCTCCCCTTCCACTTCCACCGTCATCCCCACAAGAATCCCCTCTGCCAGGTGGAGACCAGCCTGGCCCACCCGGGGTCTAAGTGCCTCTGACCTGACTCCCCGCACTTCGGGCTGGAACTGGCCAACGGATCTCTCCCCCCCCCTTCCCTGAAGTTGGATTTCCTTTGGAAGGCTGCGGGCTGCTTGCTTTCAATCACACACACAGAGGGTCACCCACCAGCGTGGAGCATTGAATTTTTGGTGTAGACAAACAACTGCACCTAACAAGCAGGAGGGATTTATATACAGCCTGAAGTAGAAATAATATTTTACGATTCGGACTGGCCAGATTTTTCATTTTTCCAAAATAGACAGGACACACGTATACTCGGTCTCCAAGATGCTGCTGAGATACCGGCAAGGGGAAGGGTCTTTCCTGTCCCATTACAATGTGGTTGTTGTCGTTTTCACCCCATTGCTACGAGCGGAGCCCCTTACCTGCTGGCCGAGCAGATAGACTCCCAGGGTCCAAAGATGGCCTCCAGCACTGCCGGCTTCAGGGTTGCCTTGGCCTTCAGGATGGCCACAAAGAACTACATCAGGAAAGAGAGACACGCACACACAAGACCTTGGTGACAATCTGCTCCTGGAGGTTGGTTGGCTGGCTGGCTCCAAGCAGCCAGGAGCACAAATTCTCAGTTCTTCAGCAGTAGCAGGACAGAAACAGCAGTGGGGAACCAGGCTGCTCCTCACCATGCCTCCCACCCTTTCGCCAGCACCCTCTTTTCGGGAGGGAGGCCTGCCTATACAAAGAGAGAGGAGACTACGACGCCCACAGCTTTGTTGGGTATCTGCAGCCCTGGGCTGTAGCCGATTGCCCCACGCCCACCCCACATCTCACAGGCTGGGGCAAGGGATGCTCTGTGTTCTTGGCGCCTGGGGGGGGCAACAGTGGGGGGGGGGCTTCTAGTTTCCTGGCCCCACTGCTGGACCTCCTCGTGGGCCCTGGTGTTTTTTGCCACTGCGTGACACAGGGTGTTGGACTGGATGGGCCATTGGCCTGATCCAGTCCAACACTCTGTGTCACACAGTGGCCAGAAATACCAGTGCCATCAGGAGGTCCAGGACATTAGAAGCCCTCCCACTGTTGACCCCCCCCCAAGCACCAAGAAGACAGAGCATCACTTGCCCCAGAGCCCCTAGCTATACCTTGTGGCTAATAGCCACGGATGGACCTCTGCTCCATATGCTTATCTAATTCCCTTTTGAAGCCGTCCATGCTTGTAGCACCCACCACTTCCTGTGGCAGTGAATTCCAAGTGTTAATCACTCTTTGGGTGAAGAAGTACTTCCTTTTATCCGTAGCGGCTTACAATCTCCTTTCCCTTCCCCTCCCCACAACAGACATCCTGTGAGGTAGGTGGGGCTGAGAGAGCTCTCTCGAGGACTGCTCTTGAGAGAATAGCTCTGAGAGAACAGCTCTGAGAGAACTTGTGACTGACCCAATGTCACACCAGCAGCTGCATTTGGAGGCGTGGGGAATCAAACCCGGTTCTCCCAGGTTAGAGTCTGTGCTCTTAACCACTACACCAAACTGGCTCTTAACCACTATACCAGACTTTGCCACACTGGAACAGGGGTGTTCCCTGCCTCAAAGAACCCTCTAGAACTAAATTTCCCTACCTGTGAGTCCTGACTCAAAAGTGGGTCATGAAGCCTATGAAAACAGCTCCCAGGCTTTGAGGTCTTAAGTGAGAGCTGAGGGTTTTTGTTCCACGTGGGTCCTCACGCCAAGTAAATTTGGACTTGAGAGTCACCAAGTTTACCATCTTATCAGAATTTTTTTTAACTCACAAATGACTTCTTTGTTTCAAAAGGTTAAGGCCGTATTCTGCCCGAAGATATTACTATCTGCAGTTTGTCTTTTGCCTTAGGTGACTGCCACACAGCCTTTTGCTCTGGTTTGGACTCCCAATTGCCATGGATTCTTTCTAAGCTTCCCCACTGGACATCAGTGGGAGGGCTTCTGGAGTTCTGGCCCCACTGCTGGACCTCCTGCTGGCCCCTGGTGTTTCTGGCCTCCGTGTGACCCAGAGAGTGTTGGGCTGGAGGGGCCCCTGGCCTGATGCAGCCTTTGGCTCCTCTTGTGTTCTTATCATCCCAGCCCCTTTGTGGAGGGGGGAGGGAGGAAGCCTCGTGCCCAGTCCTTGCCAAGGAGCCGGGATATATCAGGCAGGTGCCCCCCTTGGCCTGCCGGGCCCTCGACACCGACTCCGCTCTCCCTCCTCCTCCTCCTCCTCCTCCTCGTG